ACTGTTAACTCTAAAACTGTCTTTCATAATGAGGGATTCTCATAGAGAATTTTGCCACTAGTGTAATCTCAACTTTTTTTCCCCCAGTCACAGCGCATTGGCCAAGCCAGGACAAGAGAGTGGGGGACTTCCGATGCAAATTCTGCTGAACATAAATCAAGCTTCTTCAATCTTTTGTACCAGCTTTAAAACTTTGTGATAGAGGTTGGTTCTGCCTTCATGGCAAATGTCTGTTAAATGCCCTTTAAAATTAAACTTTTTTAGTACAGGCATCAATATGCACTTTTTAAAAGCAGTTATATATTAAACATTTTTAGCAAACTAAAAACTTGACTACTGTACAACAATGCAACCAGTAAGTCGATTCTACTGGTTTGTAGATGCATAAAAATAATTTTCTCTCAGGTGGTGTGCTATCATCTAGTATGGGCCGGTAGGGATGCTGGAGACCACCTGGAATTAGGGAAGCGGTGATGATTACAAGCTCTTTAAGGCATAACTGGGGTGAGCTTGACTAGGTGCATACACATGGTATCCCTATCTCTAAGCCAGGAGGTCTGCGTTCAGGTCCCACCTGCGCCGGATGCTTTCTTTTTAATTCATTCACGGGATGAGGGTGTTACTGAATAGGCTGAGAGAGTCAATAACATTGCTGTGTAGGCCAGACCAGGTAAGGAGGGCAGTTTACTTCCCTAAAGGACATTAATGAACCAGAAGAGTTTTTTCTGACAGTCAATAATGTTTTCATGATCACTGTCAGACTCTTAATTACAGATTTTTATTGAATGCTGTGGGATTTGAATCTGAGTGCCCAGAACATTATCTGGGTCTCAGATTAACAGTCCAGCAATTATACCACGAGCCCATCACCTATCCATGTGTCATAACGTGCCTAAACAACATGATTAAAATAAATGCATGCAGGAAACACAGTCAGTGGGTTGCAATTTTGTGATGTGAGAGTTGGAGTAAAACTCTGACCAGATATGCCTCTGTCCAAACAACCTTTAACCTCTGGTATTTAACATCGTAACAGAGGATGGCTAGTTGTTCACAAGTCAGAGAGTAATTTTGGAGAAAATTTCAGAGAGGTGGCTGAATCTAAATGCAAAGAATTGGGGTATGATCAAGCCACCTGTTTTCTTATGACCAGTGAAGAATTAAGTAATCATGTGGATCCAACCCATGGAAGCCATTCCTGGGATGGCAGGACTGAAATATGAAGAGAAAATAGGTCGATGAGGACTATATTCACTGGAATCCAGAAGAATAGCCAGGGCGGGTGGGGTGTTGGAATCTCAGAAACCTACAAAATTTTAATACGACTAATCAGGGTAAACACAGAAAGGATGCCCGTGATCACTGAGGAGTCCAGAGCCAGGGGTAATAGTTCAACGATAAAGACTGAGATGAGAAGAATTATCTTTATGTAAAGAGTGGTCAGACTGTGGAATTATTTGCAACAAGAAAAAAAGGTTGAGGCCAAAACATAACGTTTTCAAGATGGAGGTACACATAGCTCTTAGGACAAAAAGGTATGAGGAGAAAGCAGGAACAGAATACTGAGTTGAATTATGATACTGAATGCTGAAACAGACACAAAGGGCCAAGTGGCTTGCTTTTGCTTCGGTTTTCCACCTTTCCATGTACTTTACTGTTCAAGAAGCAAGGAAAGGCCTCAGCTTTTTTGCTACATACAAAAGCAGGATAAGAAGCTAAGCCTTTCCAGAATTGGGTGATTCGGACATAGATGAGATTTGGCCACATTGTTAACTTTCATGGATTGAATTTATCAAAAAGATGATTTACTCCTGCTTATGAGGCATGGTCAGATTTTGACAAATTCAGAAAGAGTGAAGGTAATTCTATGGAAGAGTACATAATGGAATTCAGCAGATTGCTTCCAAGTCTACAAAAATTCTATTTGGAAATTCCTCAATCTGTGCTGTCATTTAAGCTGTATGACTGGGCCAATGTATCAAAATTTGACAGGCTTCATGGACTGAATTTCATCACATTTAAGCAAAGTGTTAGTTTCATGGAATTTCATGGGGGGTTTCACTCTGTGAGGCCTTGCAAATTTTTTCATATTATCTAACCAAAAATGCCTCATTAACTACTTCCCACCTATGGACCCCTCTCGTCCAATGCAACCAGTCGCCTTGGTTGGAAGAACTCGCCTGTGCCCAGATATTTGGGCATGCCCATCTTTAAAAGGCGAACCCGGACAAGCACTGTCAGTCCAGAGCTGCTATGCACAGTTCTTGATCTTTGCCCCAGGCATGGCAGACAAGGGAACTTGACGCCTTGCCTTGTGGCAGGTGCCTGGAGATCCTAGTGGATAGGTGGTACAGGGATGTCTTCTTCCCCCAGGACCTCCAGAAGATGCCACGACCATGGCAGGTCTGAGGTTGCCACCTGGGTCAGTACAGCCTCAACCGTCTTGAGAAACACCTGGCAATATAGGAAGACAACCAATAATTTCTCCACCCCACCAATATAAAAACCACCATCTGCTGTCTCACACTCCCTCCGTATTTGCTATTTCACCCACCTCCCATCAAGACTCATGCTCAACCACGTACACGATTTTCCCTCACTTGCTCTCAAACTCCCGAGCTCCCCACACCACTAACCCTGCATGCTTTCTGTGCTGCTGGCTCACTCCCTCAAAAAACCTCACCACCTTTCCCCCCACCTGCACCAATGGTAACAGCTGTGTCACCCACATTCATCACCCTTAACACCACCCCTACTCTCATTCCAGGAGAAAACAACTCACAACAGGGCAGAAAGAGCCAAGATGAGTTGTGAACTGAAACATTTGGCTCCTCACCCCTTACAAGAAGAACCTGACCGTGAGCATCTGAGTGGCTCACTGGCCCCTGGGCTGGTATTGGAGGCTGCCTTTCACTGTGCCGGGACCCCTGAGCGAACACTATCTTCCTTGATCGGCCTGCGAACTGCTGACAACCATGACAAGCTTCCTGGCTTTGAGGTTGTGCTGAATGACAATGCAATGCAGAAGTACTGTGAGCCTGGTAACTCTGGCTGAGAGAGCAAAATGCAAAAAAGGCAACGCAAAGCAAGGAAAGACAGGGATGTTGTGAGCATCTATGCCAGTTCAAGGTGAGTGCTGAGAGAGCAAGCAAGCGGCCCTGAGATGCAGCCTGGTCCAATCTGTGAGTTAGGTGCCAGTCCCGTGTGTAAAAAGTATCCCTGCAGCAGCATTACAATGAGAGGTACAGCACTGAAATGCAGAAGCACACTGTGAGTGCATCGGAGATGCGCCATGATGATAAGGAGCACAAAGTGGGGAGACTGGAATGTCAGATTTCAGTTTCCAGCTTCCACTGACAAAGGATGCATGCAGCTGGGGCCCATGGAGTCTGTACTGAGACATTGCTGTCATGTGTCCAAGACAGCCGTTGGAGAAGTAAACAGTGAGCTGACATCACCAGGTGTAGACCCTGACATTTAGGTCAGGAATTGTCAATATCCAGTTTTCTGGTGGCAGGTGATAGAAAAGGAAGCTGCATATTAACAAGGCAAGATTTGCAATTAATGAGGCCAACAAGAAGCAATAATCCCTCTTAATAGGCATCTCATTCCTCCCTCGTGAGTATCTCTTCTTGATGCCTGGAACTCTGTTTGAAAATGCAATGAGTTGCTCTTGACATTGAGAGAGACGTCAGGCAATTTCTCACTTATAGTCCATATCATTCAGGCTCCCATAAGATTCCAACCCTAACTTTAATAGCAGTTACATTTGCTGACAAACATAAACTGCTAGAAGAAAAGTCAAACATACTAAAAATATTCCTTGGAAACAAGACCATCAAAATGCAGGACACAAAAAACAACTAAAACCATTTTTTTTGTACGAAGAGAAACGCATTTAGCAATTTTGAGAAGCAGAGAAAATTTATGAATTGTAATAAAAAACTGAAACCCAGAAATGCCCAGGGTATAGTCAATTGCCATTTCAGACATGATTGTCATATGAATGTATTGGTAACAAGTTGTTTCAGCCCATCGATGAATGTGTTGGGTGGCAGCCCTTTCGGGGTACACAGTATTAGAATACAGTATTTTGTACAGCACATGGTAAACAGTAGTGGGAGGTTTCCTTGCCCATGTTTGACCTGGTGCCAGGACTCCTGGAGCAACTCCCTCCTGACTGTACACCACTGTGCCATCACCTCTGGGTCTGTCCTGCCAGTGGAACCTTTCTGGTGCCATAATTGATGCCAGGAGAGCCATCTGGTTTCATTCCTTTCTTCAGACTTTGTACAATTGATACAACTGAATGGCTTGCTAGGCCATTTCAGAAGGCAGTTCTGAGTCAGCCACATTGCTCTATGTGGGATGGCTGTTTTTCTTCCCTGAAGGACATCAGTGAATGAAATGGGTTTTATCAATAACTGACATGGGCTTCATGGTCATCACTAGACTTTTAATTCCAAATTTTATTAAATCTGCCATGGTGGGATTTGAACCTGCTTCTCAGCACGTTACCTGGGTCCCTGGATTGCTTGTCCAGTGACAGTGTCATTAGGCTATCACCTCCCCTTTAACTGGAGGAATTGTGAAGTCTCATTG